AAAGAAAACATGATTTATGGTTTTAGCAGTTGAAATAAACAGTCAAAAAAATCGATGTAAAAAAATTGTAATAATTTGCTTATGAGGTAGTTTTCTCACCTTGTAATCGTTTCATACTCATGCAGTCTGTGCAGACAGCTCTGTATTTGCATTTTAACACGTTGTTCCCATTTCGCATGTTTTGATGAGCGTGCTGCAGACCGGACTGCAGGCAAATTTGCTTTCAGTCAGTGCGCACACATTCACGAATCCAGCATTTCTCTATATCATCGTTAACATTTATCATGGCAGGATGATTACTGTAACATCAGTTCTTACCTTTTTAGTTTTATTTACATAAATGACTCAGTTGATTCTTATTAAGATTTCTCCTTTTTTTTCTTGGATAATTTTACTCACAGCCATCAGTATTTGTTTCCCTATCTGACCAAACCTTTTTTTCTCTTCCACCACACGAACGAGGATTAACATGTTGAAAGGGATTGTTTTTTGTTTTTTTCCAGAGGCCTTTTGCTTGTTTCACCATCTGCCATTGTGCGAAAGCTTTAGCTCCATCTGCACGTATGGTCAACGGCTTTGTTTGTTTACCGCAATTAAAGCAAAGTTTCAAAATGAGTGTGATAATAATGATTTATTCACAGTTCCACTGCTCCAAGTGGTACTCTTATCAAATGTGTAATGAAATATTAGTAACTCTTTTTGTTGAGGATCGGAGAAAAAAAAAATCTTCGAGTTCACCCGAACGAGTAGTTCTCTTTTAGCTAAATTGGTGATGGTATCAGTTTATAGCCTGGAGCTGCTGCACAGAAAATGAAGAATAATCATTATTCGAGAGCACTTTTGTGCATTTTGAGGATGTAAGGTGTGTGTGTGTGTCTGTCGGTATGTGTGTGTGTGTGTGTCGAGTGGGGTGGGGGTGTTCTAACGCTTATTAATTATCTCCAGACTCAAAATCTTTTCACAATGGGTAGTTAAAGTGTAGTTTTTCATGTCATGCACTGTGTAAGAATCCTGTTTCCTTTAGACCTACACTGCCACATATGTAAATGGAGTATTGTAACCATGTTAAAAGACTTTTCATCCAGTACTATGCAAGTTTCTCCATGGCCTCGACTGAGAGCCAAGTTTTCCCAGTAATCTTTAATGAGGAGCCTGCTGAGAAAAATGTTACAGGGCTTTTATGCCAGAAGGAAAAGGCAGTTTTTATTAAACACCTCTTACCTTACTGCAGTGCAGCAGCATTCTGTCAAGTCCAGAGACTGAGGCATTGCCAAGAATCATTGCTACATTAGGATGTGACATTTTGTGAAAGATTTTATTCACCCTGAAGTGAGAACTTACAAGCAGCATTAGTGCTACCCTTTGAATGACACATTTTCCTTCTTTGAGTTTGTGCTTTCTTCTAGTTTTGAGATCATTTTCTGTCCGTGAATTCCGCTGCCTTCACATTTCCTCCATGTTGTTCCAGGACGAAGTTTGGCCTCGCTGAGTCGGAGGCGTGTTTCCTGCAAGGCACTGGGCAGAGGAGACTGCGAGGGTTGGCTGTGGAGAAAGAGAGATGCAAAGGGTTACTTTTCTCAAAAATGGAAGAAGTACTGGTTTGTTCTGAAAGACAACTGCCTGTACTGGTACATCAATGAAGAGGTATGTCTCAAAACTCATGTTGAGGTTTTTACTGACACAAAAGTGATGCTTTAGCAGAGGAGGTATTACCACAGTCGGGACCTAGAACTACAACACCATACAAGTGGAAGTGCTTTGTTTGAAGCTCCCCTCCTGCTAGTGTGTGATAAAGACAGTGGGAGATGTTTGCATATAGTTTTGTGAAAAACAAACTATACTTTTTTTTTATTTAAAGATGTATGTATCAAGACATAATATACTTGGTCCCTAACATGTTAATTTGCATGAATAACACAAATTGTTCATGCAAATTAACTCCAAGGTACATGCAATGCTCAGAGAATTTATTAAAAAATAACATTTCAAAAAAGCATTTCAAACTCTCCTTTCCTCAGTTAGCATCTTAACTGTTAAAATTCATGACAGTACAATTAGAAAAGGACTGAATGAGTATGATTTGTGTGGAAGGTTTTCCAGGACAATGCTTCTTCTCTCTGCAAAGAACATGGTAGTACAGCTTAGATTTCCAAAATTATATATGAAAAAATAATTTCTGGGACAATGTTTTTTGGACAGATGAGACCAAAGTAGAGATATTTGCACATAATGCACAGTATTATGTTTGATAAAAATCAAACACAACATATCAAACCAGTTATGCCCCTTTGCAACACCTGCTCCCTTTGCAGTGGCAGTGCACGAGTCTTCAGGTCTTACCTGGGTTGAAATGCTAATTGACTACACCTGGTGAGGTCCAAAACCTGGCACAGCTGCCAGGCTTTCGAGGGGCGCACCAGTTTTGTCTCTGTGGTACCACCTGTTTTAGCAAACCTATTATGTCATTTAAAATAAAATCTATTATTTTTTTTAAACTCTGGTGTCAGACTCCATATTTATGTTGCTCCTTTTGAGAAAGGTTGTAACATAAATGGGGGCTTGTCCGGGATATTTTGGACACTTTAGATATGTTTGTGGAGACAAAACATCAGAGGTTTTTTTAGAGGATGAGTGATGATTAAGGTGTTAGCTGTGATTGAGAAAACTCTCCTTAGCAAATGTGTTTCAGCTTGGTGGCTGTGCTGCCTGTCCACTGTAGTACCTGTTTGGTGGTTTAGTTTATTAAGTTTGGTGGTTATCCTGGGTGGGGGTACGCTTCAGAGTTTTCTTGTAGACTGCATCTCTGATCTGCTGCCTGCTCTTGAGTTTGCGTTCAAAGTTGCCTCAAACATCTACATCTAGTAAATAAGTGTTTATGGATGCCAAATGATGAGGTGAGTGCTTTGAGCTGTGACCTTTAGTGTTGTGGAAAAGCTGGCTACTTTTGTTGGATCACTTGTGTGTTGTTGGCCAGGTGACGGCCAAAAACAATTCTTTAAATTGTGTAGATATTGCACTTCATTTGGGGTTGGTCACTAGTACGCTTGCTTTAGTGAATTTTCTAGATCAAAGTAACTTGTTGTGGCATAGGGCCGCTTGGTGTGTGACTGTTTGTGTGATGGCAAGAACAGATCACATGGTTGGGATTGTTGGTTGATGCTTTTGGTTTGTGTTGTAGTAATTGTCTGAGTAATTACTTACTGAGTAATCCTTTTGATTTGTGGCTGTTGTGCTCCTATATGTGCTGGTCACATGTTACTTTTGTTTGCTCAGTGCAGCAACTTGGGATCCTCATATCCATGTTTGAAGATGTCAACTTAAGTTATGCGTGAGGTGTTAGGCCCTTCTGCAACCTCTTTTTTCTTTGCAGTGACACTGCACGAGTCTTTGAGGGTTGAAATGCTAGTAGACCACACTTAGACGAAACTTATTATGTAGTTTAAAATTATATAATAATAAAAATAAAGTACATTTTTAAAACTCTGGTGACAGTCTCCATATTTCTGTTTTGGCTTTTGAGCTCGGTCTTAACAAGCACAAACACTTTATGACAGCTGTCAAGATGGAGGTGGTGGAGGGTTGGGAGAGAGCTGTGTATAAACAAATACAATGCATTCTTCAACTAAACTGAAACTGAAGCAATGTTGTAAAGAAGAGTGGGTCCAAGAAACAATGGGAGAGACAGAAAAAGTCATACATCATTGAAATCATTATTTCAAGTTGCTGTCAAAAGTGGTTCTATGAGCTACTGTACGGGGTGTACTTTGTTTTTCCACACACTACTTCTGTGTTGTGACTTAAATAAATAATGAAATAGTGGTATATGTAGTAAAATGTGGTATACGCCTGAGGTTGGATTTAAATAACTTTAAGAGTAATTTCTCTTTTTTTTGCCCTGATATGTAAAACCATGGAATTGACAGAACTCTTACATTTTTTGCACATGACTGTAAAGTCAAACTAATTTATATAATTTGATTCATTTGTATCAACATTAGCGTAACTTCTTTATTTATTTTTAACATTCGTTTTTTATCCCACCATCACTTTTTTTCCCTTTTAGTTCTCTGGTTTATGGCTAAATAAACCAGAAAAAGAAGCTGGCAAGAATTCGCTTCTTAACACTGTCAGTGCAAACCCCCTCAGTAATTGACCAGAGAGCTGCTAGGTTTTAAAGTCTTATCTTTATTTAATCTGACATTCATCAACCTCTTCCTGTTCAGTCAGACTTAGAAAAAAAAAAGTGCATTTGGAAAAACACAGAGAGTGAACACATGAAATCAACTGTTTAAAACTGTGTTTTAGCCATCCTCTTTTTTTTTTTTTTGGCTTGCTGTCTGTCTTTTTTTTTAAAATTTCTTTCTCCTTGCTCTTTGTTCAGGATGAAAAAGCCGAAGGTTTTGTCAGTCTTCCAGAATTTAAGATCGATCGAGCCAGTGAATGCCGCAAGAAGTAGTAAGTGCTCAACAAACGCAGGTCTCTTGCATATATATGTGTATGTACGTGTCGTTCACATGCTCTTGAATGTATGAATGTGTGCCTGCCTGCAAAAATGACACCCTCTATCCCTCTAGTGCTTTCAAAGCTTGCCACCCCAAGGTCAAGAGTTTCTACTTTGCAGCAGATGGAGTGGATGACATGAACAGGTAAAGGAGTGTGTGCAGGGTGAAGGTTATAGAGTAGGGCGGACTTCCAGCTGGGTGGCAAAACACCACAAAAGACCCTTCAAGTAAAAAGGGGGAAAAGTGTTTTATTTAATGTTTAAAAAGGGAATTTGTTTTTACTATCAAAAATTTTAAGACATTTTCACAGAGGCCATTTTTTTTATAGGTGGCCAATTTTTTTTATAGGTCACAACATACTAAGGATAATATATTATACCTATGTACCTTTTTTGTCTGTTACTGACTTTTTAAACAAAAATTGTATATATTTGTTCATCCATGACTTACGTAACATTTAAACCATGTTTGATATACCTATTTACTTATATGATGTAGTTATCATGCTGTAGATCAGTGCAGCTCGATATCGTTTCAAACTTTAAAAAAACAAAAAATTAAAATAAAAAGAAGTAATCATTTTTTTCCAAGTGATTATTTATGTACACTGTGAGACTTTGGGACCCCAAGCGAGATTGTTATTTTAATGTTTAATTATTTGTTTGCGTACATTATGAGATAATCTAATTAGTTCCCCCTTCTGTTAGGTGGCTGAGTCGCCTCAACATGGCCGCTGTAGGCTATGCAGAGCGAGAGAGGATACGCCAGGAGCAGGGTGAGGGCTCATTCAGCGACATGGTGAAGGGTTCTTCAAACGATGGCTGCTGTAGGATGTCATCTTAAGCCAACAACACAATAATACTTCTATACCTATTGAACTTATTGTTATTTTCCCAGAATAGCCAGATTAATCTCCTAGGGGCTTACTGGGAGAAAAATTTGTTAATGGGCAACTAATGACCCCGTACCACACATGACTGTTTCATTACACCCCCAGGCACTCAGAAACCAAACAGTTATTTTTCTTCCGCTTGGTAATGTGATGCAATTAGCTATTTCTGGAAATATATTCTCCTTCAGTTCTCAAAAACTAACAAGCGCAGAGGAACCATTCACTTAAAAGCGGTCCACATTCTTCACTCCACTGACAAAATGTGAAGTAATGTACATGTTCTCCAGGTTTTTTAAGGTTCTGGGAAGAAAAAAATAATTTACAAGGTTAGCTTGAATTTAGCAAAATGTTAATAGTGAGCAAACCAGGTAAATTACATTATAATTCAGGTAAAAGTATGTGAACTATAACTTTGGACATAAGCAAAGATAATCAACTCAATACCCCCAAGGTTTTGGATGGTAATGAGGTGAAGCTAGTTGGGTCTAAAAATGTTGAAAACAAAGCCACAAAAGCCAAGGGAATAAAATGCCATCATTCATACCATTTATACTAAGAAAAAAGTGTTTTTTTAATGATTAAAAAGGATGTTTGTTTTTATTACCAAATATTTTAAGACATATTAGTTGTTAATAATTTGGTTTTAACTGTTAAGTATGAACAGTTTTTGATCCTTTACTATGTTCCACATAAAATATGAAGCATTAAAAAAAATGATGAAAAAAAAATGTCTGGAACATGGTTAGCCAGAGGCTGCAGAATACTCTGAGACTTTTGAAAAGCTTAGATTAAAGATTTTTTTGTGTGTTCAGTTCTAATATTTTTTTTAAAAAAGAAAACTGTTCATGGGTAGAATAACCAATGAGCTTTTTGGCCCTCGTGTCTGTTTAAAAAACTTAGCTATGAATAAACATCACAGCTTTCCTTTTTTTTCCCTCTCTCTGTTTTTTTTGGGGGGGGGGTTTTCAAGATTTACATGTCAGTTGGTTGCTGACTCATAGCAAATGAATTATTGTTGCTATATCAAAGGTTTTTTGTGTATTAAATACTCAAAGCAAAACATCCATTCTACTTGTGGAGTGAGGACCAAAATGCAAGATCCCCATTCAGAGTTTCAATAAAAAGCCAAAATTGTAATAGTTGTAATCCAGATTTAAAACTTAGTCCCAGGAGATCAGGAACAGTAAACAGAACAAAAGAACAAAGGAGAGACAGGGCTATTTATACACACAAAAGGTAATCATGGAATAGGAATGGGAATAGGGAATATATACAGCTGAAACTAATCTAGACAATAACAGTCAAATTAAAAGTGTGACACAAGAGACAAGTACGCTGCCAAAGTAAAACTAGAACTGAACTGCAACCATAACTAAAGCACATGAAACAAGAGTAAACTTGACACAAGAGAAAGCACACAAGGTCAAGATAGAGGGAAACATTAGTCTATAAAGTCAAACAGTAGCAACATGTAACCAAAAGTGAATGACTGAAAATACTAGGCAATGGGGGTGGCTGTAGCTCAGGTGGTAGAGCAGGTCATCTACTGATTGGAAGGTTGGTGGTT